GTCTCTTGAGCTGACAGCAAGTCATGCTGAGTCAGAACATGATTTTGTAAAATCCATGAGGAACCAAAGGCAGACAACGTTCTTTGGGTAAATCTAATATCTTTATTAGACCAAATCAAATAGTTGGAAAAAAAAAATTGTTAGCAAGCTTATGTGTTTAAAAACCCTTTGTCAGGGTTAAACCCAAAAGCTTGCTAAGAAAAAAATTTCCAACTATTTGAATTGGTCTAATAGAAGAGGTCAGATTTACACAAAGAACCATGTCTGCTTATGTCCTTAGACCAACATGGCTACAACCTACCTCCCTGTAATGAGGAACCAAAATAACTCACAGCTTTTGTTTTCTCTTCTAATTTAAGGTACAATGTGCACATGAATCCAATATAACTTTGAATTTAAGACAACCCCCCAAAACTAGATTCTATACATGGAAATTAAAAATATTTATTCATAATTTGCTGCCGCCCCCCCCCCCAGCGCACCTACTCACCTCAGCTGCAGTTGGGGAAACAGCAGCAGGGAAGCAAGCAGTGTTGGCAGGCAGGCGATGGTGGGGCAGGTAGTCTGAGCATGGCCTGGGGCTGCTGTCACTGCCACTGCCAGGCTGAAGCTGCAACTGAGGGTGGGCACAGGCTGCAGAGCAAAGTCAGTGTATCGGACTGCAACCTTGAGCCCAAGCTGGGGTTGAAGTCGGTCAATTTTATGTAATGGGTTTAAAGATATTCAGATATGGGGAGTCAGCATTTTTTAGGTTAAACTGTCTTGGTACTCAGGAGTAATGAATGCAGACATTTATAACAATATTTGTTTCCTGTGTGTCTCCAGGCTCGTTTTTGGGTACAGGTGATGCGAGATTTGCGGAATGGTGTAAAACTTAAAAAGGTTCAAGAGCGTCAGTACAACCCTCTCCCAATAGAATATCAGCTCACACCCTACGAGATGCTGATGGATGATATTAGATCTAAGCGCTACACCTTAAGGAAGGTTATGGTAGGTTACAACAGTTGGCACTCTGGCTATGTGCCCCCCGCCTCCCCAAGCTGCATGCCACATCGTGTGAGGCCCCTTGCCCCCTCTGCTGTGGGCGCACCCGGCTGCAGTGTACCATGTTTCCCTCCCTCCCCCTTTTGGACTGCAACTTGTGCTGCACCACTCTTTTGCAGCACACTGGGTCTCTGCCATGGGCAGAGCTAGATTTTTGAAAAGGGGGTGCAGGTGTTGAGATTCATCATCACATGTAAAAACACTTTTCTTTTTTACTCCAGTTAAAAATGAACTAGAAGCTTTACTGATAAGCTAGGGGCCTAGGGCTGTATTATTCAGTTTAAGATTGAAATAAATAAACAAAGATAACTGCAGGGTTGTGAAATGGGAGCTTCATTACCAGAATCAGCTAACAGACAGCAGAATTTCAGAACAAAGGATAGCTTGATTGGTGGAAAAACAAGACTATTAAAAAAAGTGAGGGTCATTAAAACCCCTGGATTGAAGAGTTTAGAAGTAATTGACTCCCTCAGCACTGCCTGACTAGAAATGCTGCTGCCACTTCCAGAGAGTTAGTTTTAAACTTTGGGTGGAACAAAAATCAAATGGGGCTGCAGGTGCACCAGTGCACTCCCTTGGGTCCACCTCTGCCCTCCGCCCTCCAAGCAGGAGCTCCCTCAGGGTAGCTATGAAAGCTGGAGGAGTGCAGGAGAGCCCTAAGATTTCTGTAGTAGCAGAAGAAGAGCAATGGAGGGAACAGCATCCAGAACAAGAGCCTGGGGACCATAGGTTGATCCCTTGGGGGCCAGATGCAGCCCATAGGTCACCTTTTGGACAGTGCAGAGTTAGAGCAGTATTAATATAAACATGAAAGGTCCTTCTTGCCTTATCTTCAATTTTTAGAATTGGCCTCCATTCTAGTTTAAACTGTATCCTAAATTTTGAAAATGATTCTAGAGCAAATAATTAACCTAGTAAATGCTATACACTGCATTTTCATGTGACAAGAACTGAAAAATTGCAGCAGACAGGGAACCTAAATTTCATATCCTTGAACAAATTGATTTTATACTGGGTTCCTAGTGACACCAAACACGTTCTGCCATTCTTCACTACTGAGTAGAAATTCTTGTAGGCTCTTTATGGTGGGGACACATTACTCTCAGATCATAACATAATTTTGGAAAGTTAAGTGTGTTCATTTGAAGATGTTAGGCCATGATACTTTGAAAACTCTAGTGCTAATGAAGGGCTGTAGGAGGACATTTCCTAAAGAAGAAGACCTGAAGTATTTGCATATACATCACATGCTGGACTTACTGAAGCAGCAGGAGCCCAGTTATGTTTCATGTATTAATAACCTATGGGATTTTATTATTTTCCCTTGAAATCTTCACCTGTAAAAGCCTCATAAATTCTGATTTGGGCACAATTATGTTAGTGCAGCCTAGTGCTTCTACGAAGTCCAAAAACAAGCTGAGTCTTGAAGGCAGGCTTCAAATGTCAGTGGTTTACTTGTGGAATATTTATCTACATCGTAAAGGTACAGATTAGGAAACTGTATGGTCTGTGGCAGGAGTGAACAACCTGTGGCACACATGCCACAAGTGATACAGACCATGTCTGTACGTGGCATGCAGCAGGTCAGAGATGGGACAGGCAGCACGGTGGCAGATGGGGAAGGAAACAGAAAGCAGAGCAACAGATCAGGCATGGAGTAGAGGGCAGGAAGCAGAGGAAGCAGAAGGCAGGATTGGAGTAGCACTTGGGGAGTATAAAGGCCTAGTTTGGGGCATGCCCACCAGAAAGGTTGGTGTGGCAGGGCACCTTTAAGTGCCCGCTTGCAGCAGGACACCTGTGGTGCCTGCCACTCAAAGGGCCTGAGTTGCAAATGGATACTGTATCAAGGAAAAACATTTACGAACTTGAAGGAAGCTAGCACAAATCTTAAGGCAAAACAAATACAAGGTAGTGTATTTGAAGTGGTTGAAGTGCTTCTACTCTGCTACAAATCTATTTTTTTCCTTTTGATGATTGGGATGGAATCTTATGCATCAAGCAGATAAGCAGTGGATTATTAGAAGACTAAAGATTTTTAGGGAAAAAAACTAGAAGGAAAAAAATCTGAGCACCCAGACGTTCAAGTAAATTAATATGTTTCTTAAGAATAGAAATAGTTCATTACAAGTGAACTGAAAGGCTTTGTGCCTGTCAGGAGCAGAATTTAAGTTATCAGATCTAAGTTTTTCTTACAGCAGATGCTGTTGCTCAGAGTACATAGTGGTAGGGCCAAAGTAAGTGCATAAATAGACAGATAACATCCTTATCTTTCCTGAACTTATTGATTCAGAGGCCTGTATTAGGTGTTAAAATCTCATCCACTGCAAAATAAAACCTTGTGGGCCTTGACTTTTGGACATAATAGATGTATTGAGTGCTGTAGTTTTGTTTGAATGGGTATCCATGGGCAATATTCTAGTTCAGCTTCTACCAAATTAGCTTCAACTTCACCTTCTGTTAAACTAATTTCTGTTTCTTCTCAAGAGTTTTTCTTTATTACATAGCAGGCCTTGAAGGCATGTTTGTTCCTCCTGGCATCCAGGTTGCAAACCTGTCTGCCTGCAGACCTCCAGTTCTATCGTGCTGCTTTCATCTGTGAAATACTAGGCAGGTTGTCTAAAGCGATCTTTGGCCGCACACACCTAAACATAAATTAGGATTAGAATCTGCTGCAGATACAAATTCTGTGGTACTATTTGACTGTCTGACTATGGTTTGCTAGTATCTTCATAATGAAAAAATAACTAGGTTATTACTTCATGTTTCCTCTGAGAATTTTGTTTTACTGCTGAGTATGCCTAAAGATACTCAGGAAGTTGTACAATAATAAAGATACAATTTAATGTGGAATAAAATTTACTAAAGCCTGCCAGGTTCACACATCAGCACAAGTTCACTTAGATCTCATCAGTACAGCATCTTTTAGAAGGCTGTCATGGATCGTACCTAAATATATATCACCCCATCAGAAGACTGTCATAACTATTATATAAAAGGAGTAGGAAAGATTAAAAACCCCAAATGTGAATTGAAAAGCAGCCAGGGGAAGAAAAATTATTTTTGTTCCTGTCAGGCAAAACAGATACTTGGCAGAATTGTTAACAAAGCAGGTGTAAGAGTTATTGGCATTAATGGGTACCTATCAAAGTCCATATTAATAATTCTAACAGAATGTTAGCTAAGTCTTACAATTATGTGAAAAGGCATTATAAAGTAAATTACTTTCATTTATAATGTAAAATGATTACTTTTGGGGGGGTTCATAATATAACACCCTAGCAAAATAAAAGTATTATTGGCCTGAGTGCCTCCAGAAGGAATTTTGAAAACAGAACAGAAGATTTAATTTACAGTTTATTTAGAAATGCTTTTGGTGCTCCACATTGTAAGGCAAGGTGGGGTAATAATTACTAATAACTGCAGTTTTCTGTTTTTCATTGATCTTTAATAGTATAAGAATTCCAGCTATTTTAAAGGTAAAGGTCAAAACTACTAAAGCTGAGTTCTATAGAATTGTGGCTACTTCTCCACTTTTATTATAAGTGCTATAGCTAAGCAATATTTCCTTCAGTAAATAGCTGAACTTTCTTGTATGCAGTTAACCTTTTTAGCCACAAATTAGATTTATCAAACTTCATGGTGATGGACTGAATGCAAGTGCAGGCAGCCATTTCTAATTACTTTTTAATTTCACTCTGTTTTTACTGTGTGACTGCTTAAATTTCTGGTGGATCTTATGACTTCAGTAGGTTACTAATTTTACCTGTTTAACAGCAACAGTTTATACAGAAGTTTGCACAAAATTATTCTTTAGACTTCATTTTAGAAACTTTTTCCCCCCAAAATAAGCATTTGGGATAAATTCAGAAGTTCTTTGGGGCACTCTGAGTAAACATTAGTATAGCGCAATGTAACTGGTAGCCTGGGGGCTGCATGCAGCCCCTGAGGAGTTACCATGTTAACATACAGCCCCCCGGGCTCGCAGTCTGTTTTGGCAGCTGCTGCCTCCAAAGTCTCCAAGCTCTTTCTCCATTCCTCAGCTTTTTACTGGTACTGCTGCAAACTATGTCAGTCACCTTGACACAGGTTTCCTTTGTGACCTTGAGGAATCATTTGAATGTATCTTTGGCTTCAGTTTTTCCAGCTGTGAAATAGTTGGGCTTTTAACCCTTATTGATGGGACAGTGGTAGCTTGTTATTCAGTTAAGTGTGTAGGGCACTTGGAGTTCCTTGGATGGAAAGTGCTATTGAAATGCAAAGTTTTCTATTTTCTATTGGTATATTAAGATATGACCACTTGGGACTGGATTAAGACCCCCAGCTTACCATGCAGCTGTCTGATGTTAATTTTGTATTGCTCCTGCCTTTGATAGCTCTTGAAAAGTAGCCCAGAGATGAGAGATTTCTTAACTTATTTTCAACTGTGAAAACCATGAAGCTTTCTGAAAACTGTCAATTTTTTTTAAAGTGGAAAATATACTTAATTGCTTTAAAAATAATACTCTCCATCTCATAAAGTGTAATACTCCCTTTTAATTGAATTGTTTATTTTAATGTCTTTATTATTTACATTTATTATCAAAGTCTATCATTTATCTGCAAGCTCAGTTTAAATCTTCAAAGCATTTTTTAAAGTATGGGTAGATCAATGTAGCCAGGTGACTTTAAACATTGAGAAATTTAGAGTGGAGCAATTTTAAAGTAATACCATCACTTTTTGCTGAGATTTGCAGACATGGGGCACATCTTCAGGGTTGATTGGCAGCTGGTAGATCTAAGGCAGGCAAAATATGCCTGCCTAGGGACTAGATCCAGCTATTCTATTTGGCCTGTGGGGCCCTCCAAAAACCAATTATTACCGGCCTGCGGCAGCCCCTCTGACAGCCACTGGGAGGCTTAGGCTTTCAGAGGTTGTGTATCATCAGACTGGGCAGGCTTCTCCATGTCCTTGGGGCTCTTGGCACTCCAGCTGGGAGCCCCGAGCGTGATGCCGGGCAACTGGATAGCTAGTGAGTGGAGCTGCTGCCTGCTTTGCTAGGAACCAAATGTGGTGACAGGGAATCTGCCTGGCCTGATGGTGTGCACACGTGTGTGTGTGTGTGTGTGTGTGTGTGTGTGTGTGTGTGTGTGTGTGTGTGTGTGTGTGTGTGTGTGTGTGGGTGTGGAGTTTGTGGGGGCTGGGTGTGGGGTTTGTGTAGAGGGGGTATGGGCCCCTCGCCCCCTTATGGTGCATAGCCCCTGCTGCCACAGGCAGCAACAGCAGGCACTGGGTCCTCAGAGCACTCCTGGCCCATGGCAGGCAGAGTCTTTCAGTGATGCATGGCTCTGGCTGAGTTCTGGGGGGCTGCACATGGTGGCATGGAGCTGACCTGGCCTGGCTCAGCAGCGTGTGCTCCTGGCTGCAGAGCCAGGAGCCCCACCCGGTGGCACAGAGCCTGCCCTAGCCAATGGCATGTGGACCAGGAGTCACAGGCCATCGGGCCAGGTGGGCTCCGTGTCACCATGTGCAGTTTCCCACTAGAGTGATGGAAGCGCTATGTGAAAGCGCAGAGCTGGCCTGGCCCACCCCACAGGTGCATGGCTCCTGCCTTAAGTGCCATGATCCCCACACGATGGCACAGAGTCAGTCCAGTTTGGTTCAGAGGCGTGCAGCAGTGAGCCACGCTGGCTCCATGCCATGTGCAGCCCCCAGGACTCAGCTGGAGCCATGTGCCATCCAGGGGGCTCTGCCTGTTGCGGGCCATGAGTGTCCTGAGAGCCCCATTGCCTGTTGCTGCTGCCACTGGCAGTAGAGGCTATGCGCTGGGGGGGCAAGGGGTACGTGGTAGGGGAGGCCCACGCTTCCCCCACAAACCCGACACTCCCTACGCAAACTCTCACCCCCCACACCTCCTACACACACCTACATACCCCATAAAACCCATACACACCCCTCCTCAAAGGCCACACCCACCCACATATACACCCATACCCCCACAGACCACACCCCCCACATACCACATACTAACCCACACACACATCCACAGTCCCCCACAAAACCCATCCATACACCACACAAATCCCATACCCCTCTTACACACACAATATATAAGAATAAGACTTTATTTTGAGCTATTATGCAACCACCTCTATATACACTATGCAAATGCATGTAAATCAGGACAAAACTATTTTTTAAAATAAAATTAAAATATGTCATAGTAGATATTTGATTCATAGTATATGATTTTTTTTGTGGTTCTGAGATGGCAAACCCCCCCCCCTCCCCCCCAAAGGATTGCTTTTGGGGGGCAAGGGGAGGGACTTCAGGTGGCAAAGGTTAGGGGTGGGACTTCTCATCCCCAGATGGTGTTCTGGTGGTACTACCCTTGTGGCCGTTGACAGCTCACCAAAAGTCATTAAGGCGCCCTCCAAGCAAAATAATTGCCCACCCCTGATCTAAAAGAATGAGAAAGGACACTTGATCTTTTCCTGTTTCCAGAAACAGATCTTTAGTCAATGGGACTAGCACAGTCTGAGTGCCCATACCCAAATCAGAAACCACACGTAAAAGGGCTCATGAACCTTCTTGATAACCTTCCTGGAAAACAGAATATTAGAGCAGTGATCATCAACCAGAGCGCTGCAGCACCCTGGGGCTCCATGAGATTCCTTTAAGGATGTCATTGGGTGCCACACAAGTATCACACTTAAGTGTGCAAACACCCACACAGTTTACAAGATAAACCCAGAGATTTCGAATAGGAATCCATAGTGTCAAAAATATTCTGACCTGTTGTGGTCTTTCTGAGTTCCTTGCACCAGAAAAACAGGTTATTTTTCTGTAGTCAAGAAATGCATGAAAGCTAAGAGTGGCATTTTCTGAAGGGTGCTTTGAGTCTAACAAGGTTAAGAGCCACTGTATTGGAGACAGCATAATAATTTGCAAAATTATCAGCATCACAAGTTGTTCTCTTGGATTCAAACAGTTAGCTAAGAGCTGTTTGCATCTTGTCCTCCAAAACAGGGGATTGACAAACTTCTGCAGTAATGAACCCTCTGTTCTCCTGCAAGCCCTGATTTCACCACTAAATCCTAAGTATTAGTAATTAACATTACTGTGATTGCATTCATTCTACATCTGCTTATAAAATGAAAATGCTGTTATATGCAGCATTTCTTTTCTATATCCTGCATGCAGATTATCACTTTTTTCAGAACTGATGACACATTTTAGAATATGTTTGTGTCAGAACTCTAAAGGCTCCCTCTGGATGTTAAGTATGTTTATCTGATCTCATTTGAGAGCACAGATTTGAACGGAGAGCATAAAACATGTTTCATTTTCCTTCTTTCAGGTCAACGGTGATATTCCACCTCGATTAAAAAAGAGCGCTCATGAAATAATCCTGGATTTTATCCGATCACGACCTCCATTAAACCCTGTATGTAATCCAATATGTTTCTTCCTAATGAAAGCATGGCTTTTAAAATGTGCTTGTGGTCAGGGAATAGTTGTGATTTCTTTTGTTTTAAAATGATGCTGTTGCAAAAATATTTGTGTGCTGCGCGACAAATATTGTCTTGTATGTATAAAACAAGGTCTGTGTAAGAAGATCGTTGTAAAACCGTGGCACCTTTACATTAATATTTGTGCCATATCTGCATGCAACTACGTTGTCTCAGAGCAGTGATTCTCATCCAGAGTGCACCCAGGGGTGCTGTGAGATGCTTTTGAGGGTGCTGCACAATATTAGCACTGTTTGGTGTACAAATATGATGTACACAAGACCAGAAATTTCAAATAGAAATCCATAACACCAAAAACATTCTGGCTGTTGCATTCTTTGCAATAGAAAAAATGTTCAAAGAAAGCCTAAGAGCTGGCATTTTCTGAGGTGTGCCTTTAATTTAAAAAGATTGAGAACCACTGTCTTAGAGGCTTTCAAAATTATCCTTCCAATATTCTGGTTGTCTTTTAAATGAATGCATGTAAAATCACTTCAAGATAATCTGCTGCTTAAAAGGACACTTATGGAATCACTTCCAGGGAGTAATGGTTTGCTTTAATAGTCACTGTTTTAATTCCAAAGGCATCTGCAAGAAAACTGAAACCAACCCCACCTCGACCACGCAGTCTCCATGAAAGGATATTGGACGAAATCAAGGCAGAAAGAAAGCTGCGTCCTGTCTCACCAGATGAGGTCAGGCGTAGCAGGCTAGGTGAGTGTATTGTTCATATTAGCACCTGTCTTGGGCATCAGTGCTCATATAAAAGCGACCCATGTAGGCAACAGTATTATTAATCTCTGCAGAGTGCTAAAATAGAGGCAGCGGATCTTCCAAGCTTTCCTAGGACCATATGGCTTTTCCGATATGTTCAAATCCATTATTTCCATGCTTTAAGAAGATGACACTGTATAATTAAGCCTGATCTCTGTAGGTTTCTGATATCATAAATAGACTAATTTAATTGCCATTACATTTATTGTTTGGTAGAGGAAATTCCATTAAATTGGCTCATAGATGTGAACAGAAGCTTGTTTTCCTAATATGCAGTAAGATGTACTTAGATCTGATCTTAACTCATTTTATTCTCTTTATTTTTTGCTGTCAACTTCATTAGTCTCTTTTTTCTTTAGTGATTATTTGTTTTTATTTATGTTTTGCCGAACTTTAAAGATAAGAGTATTGCATCAGTTGGGATATACAATTGTGCTTCATTCTGTTAGTTATGGAGTGGGAACCTCTATAATCATGTGTATGACTTATGAATTAGTGACTGATTAAGATTTACATAACAAAGTGTTTAGCTTCTACAGTACATAAATAATGATTAGTTGCCTATTATGAGGGACCTACTTAATTCATACTTTTGTGGAAACTACAGGAAATCTGAGATTGTCCATGAAACCCACAAAATCACCAAAAAAACTTAATAAAAATAAAATACTGGCTCCCCAACAGAAGACAGCAGTCCTTGCTGACCCAGCACATAAGGGGTGGGGGGAGGCAATTGACTCTATCTGGCCAGTCTGATCCAGCACCCAGAGGGGTGGTGCTGGACAGAGCAGACAGGCAGGGTCTCCATGGAGACCGCTTGGGACCCCCACGTGCAAGATGTGCTTGGCCAGGCGGATGGTATGGGGCCATAGGTGGACAGGGAGCGGTGTCTGGGAGTGTTGAAGAGGCAAAGAAACAAACTACAGTTGCAATTCTGTTTTAACAGGATAAGTGTGCATAGTTGTTTAGAAGTGAATGCAATTAGGGTGTAATTAGTAGTGATTACTACCGTATTTATTTAGATATAAGACAAGGTTTTTCCCCCAAATAAGCATGGAGGAAACAAGCCCCTTATTTTATATTCACATATAAGGAAATCTCATTAAATACATTGTTTATCATTAAACTGGTGCCAAAAGCCGTATGTGCTCAGTAATGGAAACCAACTATGATAAAATGTAGCCAATACTGAACATGACTCTAAAACACATGGTCCATATTATGCAAACATCCTAATGGAAGCTTATTACAAGGATAGGTTAATGCAGCCCATCTGAATAAGACATATAATAGTGTCCAGCATGCTCAGTCTCCCTTAGCACCGGCTCTTTTTCAGGTCATGGTGAGTCACTACATTGAATATATTTCAGCTTCCTCTTCACACCCACAACTGAGCTGCACCTTTCTTTCTCATTTCCAATGATTCCTATTTCTTCACCAGCTTTAAATATGTGGTAAACATAACCAAACTGGGCCTCAAACACTTCACCTGGAATCCCTCTGTCACCTCATCTCTCAGCCTGTCACTATGATTAGCATGGTCCTGAACCCCATGAGGTGGACCCAGACCAGATTTACAGGCAGATGAAGCGCAGGGCAAGTTTTGGAGCATCCGAGGACTTGTGACAAGAACACATGGTTCCAGTCATGAATGGGGAGGCGGGTAATTAGCACGTGGAACTTTTGTGGGGGTATACTGATCACTGCTTAGCTGTGGGTTCACCATGCCTTGAAACACTGTTGACTCTGCTGGGACACAGTCCAGTGAACTACATGGTAAATTATAAGCCTTTTGGCTTTGAAATAAACTCATGCATAAAGGCAGCCTTCATAGTTGCAGAAGAAAACCACTTTCTCGGCAAGAGGTAGTATGTTGACCTAGGTAAGGCATCATCTCCTGCTTTCTCTTCCAGTGGGAAGATCTTGGCTATAGGCCCACTTTATGGAAATGAGAGACTTCTCCCCAGCTTGCTTCTGTGGCCATACAGCTGAGGGCAAGCGAAACTGGGGGGCAGCCGAACCCCAAGGCTCCGGGCTTGGGCCCACACACAGGATGCCTGCCAAAGGATTTGTAAGCATCTGAAGCCCCAGGCGGGGGTAGAAGATGTTTGCTGGTAGAAGGGCCACATATGGTTTTTGAATGGCTCATGGATTTGGAATTTAATTCTCTGATTTGGTTTGGAACATGAAAATTTTACTTTAAAAAAAATTGTACTATATATAAGTATAGGTATGAAAGTGCTGCTTCAGAGTGTTTTTATGGAGTAGCTGTGCAGTTTCAAAAAAGGTCGAAAGGTAAAGCTTGCAGCAGTTTTAAAAAAGATAAAATCAATTCATTATGGATGAATCAAGTCTGTGAGAATCTGTAGTAATTTCTCTATATGCAAATTCATAGAGTTATGTTTATGTCAAAGTCAGTATTTTTCAAATGTGTCCCTCATTTCCACATCCTCAGGGAGAGCAGGGATGGAGAAGGTGCTGCAGGGGGAAGAAATTGCAGAGGGAAGGTAGGGAAGGAGTTGCAGGGGGAAGAAGATGGGAGTGGGGGGTAGAGGACAAGATAGAGGACCTGATTCCCTCCCCTCCCCCCTCCAATAATTATATGCCTGGAAAATTGCAACAAATTTATAAGTTTTCCATATATAGAATGTCATAATTGGTGGGTCATGTTATATACAGGATTGTCTTATAGTCAAGTAAATACGCTATATTGGTAAAGTTTGGGTACTATTTGAACAACAGGATGTTCTTAACTGATTTTTGTGGACCATCTGGATCCTATTTGGGATTTGATTTATGGTTGACAAACCTTCTAGGTGTTTATTTTTTCAGACTTATTTTTTTCTATTTGAAAGCTCAGCAGAATCTTGAGAGGTTTTATTTTCACTGCTTCAGTATGTAAACATTTAACTTTTAATGTATACAGTGTTCTTTGTCTGAGAACTGTACTGTGTCGTTACAGAGGGAGCAAGTTCACACCTTTAGATCAAATCAAAATTTTAAAGATAGCTTTTTAATTTCCAAAAGCAATTCCAAATTTCAGAACATTAGTACCTAGATTTTGGGGTGGGGGGACTTGGATTCAATATAAAAGTGCTCCAGTAACTACTTTTCAAATTAAAAAGTAGTTTTTAATTTTTGGAACAATGGCTATCTTCTTCCAGCTCAAAAGTGGCTTTTTAGAACTTTTTGAGATATGAATGCATGATGTCTTAGAGTTTATTTAAAAAACTAGAAAAGTTTTGCTGAAACAGCTATGCAAATGTTTATTTGTCACCAGCATAAAGAAACGGAAAAATACCTTTTGACTCGTTTAGAGGGAGTTGCTTCTTATTTTGAAGTATGCCATTTTTTTCCTTTTTGCAGTGACACTGACCAACTATTTGAAATCTTTGTATTTTCTTAAGAGCAAAATTCACTTATATACAATAGAATTGGGATGAGAAAATGGCTACTACATTTAGAAAGCTAGAAATGGATCAGGCTTACAGATAAGTGTTGCATGTAATTTAGTAATGAAATAATAAGGTAATAAGGTTTAGGGTTTATAATCTAAATGGAAGAACAGAGAAGGGAGAGATGAGTATGGCTAATCCAGTTAAATCATCAAGGTGGATGTCTTTGATAATACCATAACAGTGAAAATAGAAAAGGTCTTGAGAGGAATCCAATTAAAGTACAAGGTATATTGTACAAGTGCAGTTGTTATTCTGTTTTCACCATTGGTTGTAATATGTCAATTAATTTCTACAACCAGACTATAACTAATTATGTATAGGGAATGTGCAACAAAAGAATGACAAATATGACTGAGTGGCTTAAGCTAACAAGTCTAAATAAAATGTCAGGAAAAGAGAGGCTTAGAAAGTATTTATGTTTAATTAAAAGGGTGGGTTTATTTTTTACATGAACAAGTGGAGCTAATGTAGCCTTGGGAGGAACCAGCTCTTCCCTTCTATGTTTTGTTTTACAGAGATTTGCTTTATTTTAAATTTGGGATTGGGAACTCCCAGCAAAAAGTTAACTAAAATATATGTCTCTTAATTAAGAGTGAACATAATTTGAATATATAGTATTTAGGGATTCTTTCTGCAACTAGTGTAACAATTGGTTTGTTTAATCTTGAACTTGAAGCGCTTCTGCTCCCACGTTTCTTGGCTCTGGCTCAAGCACCTACTACTGTCACTGACTCCCATTAATGAGCCCTTTTTAACATAAATTAGCTTAAAGGGTATATGTTTGCCAGATCCATTTATGACAACCTGCATTTTTAACAAGTTGACAAATTAAGCAAGCAAGTAGGTGCAGATTATGTTGCTTAGCTGGTGTGTTTATTTTTTTCTCCTTTTGATTATTCATAATGTTGGGACTGACTGGCTTGACTACTCTTACAGTTAAAGTATTAGCATTTGTGTTGTAAATCACAATGAATTTGGTCTCATCCTAGTTTCTAATGAATGTTGGATAATGTACCAGTTTAGTACAATTGGTAATTCACGTTTGAGATTGGAGCCAGATACATATTTTTGTCAAACATAAATGCACTAACCAAGCTGTGTTTAAGTGTGGCAGACCACGTGCTTGTAACAAGACAGATGTCTCATTTCATTAGTCATATGAACTTTCCAGGCCCAATGAACCTTTGACTTCTTAATTTAAACATAACTGTCAAGGAGAGGATAGTGTAGAAGAAATCAAACTTCTCGTTGTGGTTGAATCAGAACTGCCAGAGCCAGTCTTTCTTTATTCAGGGCTATATTGTGATCACAGGGAGAATTCCATACAGCAAGGGGAATCACCCACTTGTCTGTTTCTAAGGATTTCTCAAACTCTGTAAGTTTACAGGCATATTTATACTTAAGACAGAGATAGAGAAAAAAATACAACCTTGGACAGTAAATCACTGATCTGACCCACACAGACATACAGGCAGTTTACTT